ACATTACTCGTGCTCGTGTGACTCGCTATGCTCGCGAGTAATGTGGACGATATGACAAGTCACGAGACAAGCAAATTTTAAACTTTTAATTTAAAAACTACAGCCAATAAATTAAAATACGACTACAGCCTATACACACTACGAGTAAATATACGGATCCTCACGCGCCGAAGCCTGGCGAGCAACTGAAGTAGTGTGGACGAAGATTTACGAGCACAAGTAAAACCCAGACGAGTCTCCCGACGAGCACGAGTAATGTGGACGCGCCTTTATGTTTCGCACAGGAAACAGCGATTTTCCCCCTTAAGAACAGTATTCGGTTGACCATTGTAGAGGAAACGTAATGTGTTTTCTATGAGGTAGGAACTTAAACTTTGTGTGCTATTTAGAATAATCACAATCTTTGAAGAGTTAAAGTTTCTTTTGTTATATTACCGAGATCAAATGTGATAAAGGACTCGCCTTTAAAATTAAAATTAGGTTCTGAAATGAACAAAATTATACCAAAGCTAAAAATTAGCTACAAAATGTATTCTACGTCTGTCGTATCGTGTGCCGTCGAAATCGGTTAAATGCTTTGAATCCTATTAATTGTGGACCAGCTTCATCCATTTACATCACTGCACACAATTGCTGTTAGGGCTCAGCTCGCAGTAGAGTTAACATAAATACCACCGTAAGACAAAATAATCTAAATAAATATCGGTATGGAATGGGGGCTCTCAGTTCATGCGGAACTTAAATACGATGCATTTAAGATTCGGTCGGGTAAAGGTAAAGAAGGTAAAGGTACTCCTGTACCAGGCCGTGGAGGCCCATAGGGTTGTCAGACGTCGAGGCTCACACATTATCCAGACAGTCGGCTCACAGATGGCGGTAAGGTTATCAGCCTTACGCTCCGACCACCCTTTACCCCCACTCCGGAAAGGTTACTGGTACTCATTTGTGTTACAGGCTAAGTTGATCCCAAGGCCATAGTGCGGCTGGAAGGATTAGGTGAATTGGAAAAATTCACCTCATCGGTGCTCGAACCCGCAATCTTCTGGCTTGTGGTATAGTGCCTCAACCAACTAGGTTACCGCGTGCCCGACAGAAATGAGTACCAGGAATCTTTCTGGGGATGAAGGGCGGCCGGCGCGTAAGGCTGACAACCTTACCGCCAACTGTGAGCCAGTTATTTAGAGAAAATGTGGAAGCCTCGACATCTCACAACATTATGGGCCTTCACGGTCTAACACAGGAATAGCTTTACCTTAGTTTCGGTCTGGTAATATTATGGCTCAATATAATATTATAATAATTATATAATTATGGCTCAAAACATGATGAAAATAATAGAAAGTTTAATTTCGTTGAAGAGTCCACTTGATTGTACCTAAGTTCCAATGGTCGCTGCTCCTCAGTCTTATGTTTTCCTTCGAGAAAACCTTTAAAGATGACATATTGTTACAGGTACAAATACTGTATTAACACTTAGAATACAGTGTAATGAAAGGCTTACGGTTGAGCCAATTTCCTGTCTGAGAACCGACGGATTGCAGCTGAAGTATGTTTTATTTTGGGCACAAATCGTTGAGAATAGAGCAAATTTAATTTAAAAAAGTTTTCTCTGCGACAATGACTAGCACGACGCATAAACAACTGCTCCTTGATAACTATGCAATGTAATCCATCACATTAAACTCGATTTCTGGAAATGCAAGAAAGTGGTTTAACTTTGAAAGGATTAAATAAACTTCTAAATTTTGCAATTAAACTATATGTTATTCTTGTTATGTGGCTCTCTGCAGGTTATCAAGATGTTAGTGGCTGTTGTGGCGCTCTTTGTCCTGTGCTGGGCTCCGCTCCTCATTTTGAACGTTCTTTACGCCTACGGAGTAGTCTCCAAGTACAGCAATGACGTAGAAATCAAGAATGTCCAGTCGGGTTTCACTGTCATGGCCTACTCAAATAGGTAAGTGCGTTGAATTAGAAGAATGCCTCACATAGCTACGTCCTCATTGAAAAACCCATAGTTATCCTACTGGTCAACAAATTCCAGGACTTTTATCGACCATAATAAAATCATATTATTATGTTAACAAAAGCCGGCCACTGGACCCTATCCAGATAGGCTACATGTCCATCCCATCTCATATTCCTTTCGGTAATGGCTGAAGAGTAGACTCATAACTAATGAAACTCTTACACATGAAACCAGACTTTTCTCTAACGCTACAATGATTGGTATGTCTTTTTCAGCTGTATTAACCCACTAGTGTACGGCTTCATGTCGAAGAACTTTCGCGAGAGTTTCTACAAGGCCCTGTGCAGATGTTGTTATCGAGGAGGCCGAGTCCCGAAACGCCATTTCTCTCTTTCCCAGACCAGAACGACTTCAGTGCGGTACGTAGATTCCAGGTAAACCTGTTGCTGCAACAGGTGAGCCGCTTCTTCTTGTCTAACATTTGATAATATTATGTGTGGTCTGACAATAAAGTTCGCGAACTCATCGTGGTGAAAGTACTACATACCTCATTGCTGAATATCACTGCGGTCGCCTTCAAACTACTCCTCTTGAGAAACTATGCACGATACCAGCGCCTAGTCCACCCTTCAGGACAATTTTGGAACTGGTTTTGTTGAACGGACTTCAGAGCTGCCGTCGTGTTACTCATGATATCACTTTCTTCAAAACGCCTTCCTTCCAATATGTCCTTCATCTTTTGGAAAAGAAAAGGCTACTGGGGCTAGATCTGGCGAATTTGGAGGGTGTTCCAGCATATTTATTTATTTACTAGCTAAAAACTTCCTCACAGACAGTCTTCTAATTCAAGCACCGACATTTCTCACGACGGCACACGGAAACACACTCAGACAATAATAGACGACACTCAGAAAGAGACTGACATGGATCAACAACAACACAGCTGTGAAACGCTGATATGCCAAAGTCATCAGACCATACTGAGGTTTCTGTCCACTGCTGCCACAGCAAGCACACGGTGGCGAGTTCGCGAAATTTATTGTCAGACCTCGTATACTTCTTTTGTTGAACCTGTCCACCCGCCTACATCAAAATTAAACTTTCTTTCATCACTATATGTCTGTTTTTATATCGGCGTCCTAAACACTCAAGAGCCGGGGTAGCGTAGTCTGTATAGTGACTGGCTACGGGTTGGACGACTGAGGTGTCGGAGTTCGAGTCCTAGAATTTTCTCTTCTCCACGTCGTCCAAACCGACTCTGGGTCCACCCAACCTCCTATCTAGTGGGTACCGGGGCCTCCTTCCCCGGCGGTAAAGCAGTCGGGGCGTGAAGCTGACCACTCTCCTCCAGCTAGTGCCGAGGTCGAGAAGATGTGGATCTATTATATTTACTCCCCCATACGCCTTCATGACTTAGTGCTTAATTAGTTAAATACAGGAACAACTTTACATTTTTTACTGAAAACTCATCCCATACCTTAAAGAAACTCACCTAAAATTTAAAACTCATCATCTTTCATATTCTACGTTTCACCATAATGAATCTTAATATCACTTAGCTGGTAAAGTGCAAGGAAAAATGGCGTGTTTGCTATTTGTGACTAGGAATGAACTTTAAAAAGATCCTAATTATTAGAAAGAGTGGAATATGTCTGCAAATGAAACAGGTCTGATTGAATGAGAGAAAATACGTAGTCTTTGCTGTGTACATATAGTGTGTGGTTATGATGAGATATTTGAGGGGTTACGGCTAGTACCTTACTCTCTATTAGCTAACGGATTTTTTTGCTTCTCCAATGAAAAAAGAATGATTTGCACTGAGCAGAAGACGAATTTACTTTCTTCCCATATTGGTAAAATTTTAGGTTGCAGTGAATCGGCTACTTCCATAAAATTCGTCCTGCCATTATGAATTAAACTGTCTTCGTTTCTTCAGAAATCAAATGTCCTTTGTCATTTTAGAAAACATCTCCGAGTTGAAGAATTGTATCTAATAGGGTATAACGCCATATAGTCCGTTGAAAGCCAACCAACGGACTATACGGCGTTGTGTCCCAGAACACAGAAATCTTCATAACCACGGCTGGGGAACCTCAAATATCTCCGGATTAATTACATCTATGGCTGCCTTCAAGAGCCCTGAAGTCAGTGTTTCCGTTCCTCTCCTCCTAACATATCAAGCTCTTAGTTAAAAAAACAACCAAAAGGTAAGTTAGTGATAAACTATCCTTATTTTGAAATAAATAAAAGTAGGCTTAGGCTACGTTCTTTATTGTTTCTCGGCTATTCGAGAAATTATATGTTAAAAAGATCTACCAGGTAAAAGTTTGTGACGATGGTACAGTAGTACAAATATTATATTTATGGACATTAAACATCGTCCTGCTTTTATCTAAAACACTGTCCTGCTTATAGTACGTATTTCAAAACACAGTGTTTCGGAGACTGGATTCTCACTCCGTCTTCAGGTAAAATCTACTCAATAAATGATATAATGATATAAACTCCGTCCCAAGTGTAAACAATATATTATGTGTCCTTGATCTTGCTCCTTTACACTACATGTTTCGGCCTCAGACGGCCATCATCAGGTGTATAACACTCACGTTGCTGTCACACTGCACCCAGCCCAAAATTTAACATTTAAAAACACTTTCCTTGTTCTTATCAACATCTACTTAGTTGATATCTGTCTGGTTTGTAGATTATTTTTGTTACACACGTTAATTTTGACGTTCCTGTAGTAACACTATAAAATCTTTAGTTCCAATTTTAAAATCCCTTAAAATTTTTCTCTAAATTTTAAAATTTAAAATTGTTAGGGTTAGTCGCCCTATGTCTAAAGTGCTGCAGCGGCTAGTTCTTGTTTCCACACTGTACAGCTGTTATCCTGTGTAGTCTTCCTGTGTGCGTGCCGCTTTACTACGTGTGCTGTCTGATGTACTGTGACACAGTACATCAGACACGGAATAACACCTATACAGTGTGGAAACAAGAACTAGCCGCTGCAGCACTTTAGACATAGGGCGACTAACCCTAACAATTTTAAATTTTAAAATTTAGAGAAAAATTTTAAGGGATTTTAAAATTGGAACTAAAGATTTTATAGTGTTACTACAGGAACGTCAAAATTAACGTGTGTAACAAAAATAATCTACAAACCAGACAGATATCAACTAAGTAGATGTTGATAAGAACAAGGAAAGTGTTTTTAAATGTTAAATTTTGGGCTGGGTGCAGTGTGACAGCAACGTGAGTGTTATACACCTGATGATGGCCGTCTGAGGCCGAAACATGTAGTGTAAAGGAGCAAGATCAAGGACACATAATATATTGTTTGCACTTGGGACGGAGTTTATATCATTATATCATTTATCGTATAGAGTGCAACAGGATGCTTAAATATAATATTAAAATCTACTCAGTTGGACTAGCTCTATCGATTGGGCTCAACTTAATAAGTTGTTCATGAAGACGAAGACAGAATCCAGTCTCCAAAACGTTGTGTTTTGAAATGTAAACAGGGCGGTGGATAATGTCTAGAAAAATAATTTGTACTAAATTCTATGTTGTTGAGAAACCAGAAGGTATATACCCATGTCCGTAATTTGAATCTGTCTTGGGCAAGTTCATTGTAGTTTATATTATCATTGTCTCTCCTAAGTCCTTTTATGATTTCGACATCCGATACTGCTCAACATATGGCGCTAATAAATATTTGTTACACCAAGAAAAATATTGATAAAATATTGGTAATATATCTGAACATGGGAAAAAAATAAGAACAATTGTTAATGGCTGTTTCGCTCTCATGGTTTAGAAATTGTCAATTTACACATGCAACAGAACGTGATTTATGTATACTGCATTTAATAACTGAAAATAAATTGGTGTTGTTTGAAGCCTAGAACTTCATCCATACAACGACGTTTAGGTTACGAGCAGCCATAATGTCAGAGAAAGCATTTACGTGTATGTTTGTGATATTGTCCTACGTACTTTCTGCTTATTCCGCAATAGAAATCTAGCGCAGAAACACATTAATATTATTATTTTTGTTATTTTCACTGCTTTGTTACTGTCGCCATCATTATTGATTAGTCAGAAAAGTCATTTGTTCAAGATATCCTTTGAGCACTCAAAGCGGAACGCTGGAATTTTTTCGTTATGCTGTTTCCAATTCTCAAAACTTGTGCCAACTCATGTTTCTTGCTTAGACCTTGTAACACATCTATCCTTAGAAGGGAACCGTAATATGGTTACGTTCATTATTATCGTAATATCTCGATCGTAGCTTATCCATCTATCTATCTATCTATCTATCTATCTATCTTTGGCTTTACTGCCGTTTGTTGGACTTTGGCTGCTTTTTCATTTCCTTGATCTTGTTTACGCATTTGATAGGGCTCCTTGGATGAGTGGTCAGCCCGTTGCAAGGCAGCTACCTGCAAACAGAACAACACAGACACAGAATAAATGCACACAGACAGCCATGCCTCTAGTGGGATTCGAACCCACGAACCCAACTTTCGTGCGGGCGAATACAGTTCATACCTTAGAACACGCGGTCACTCTGGTCGGCCTCGATTGTAACATATAGGCCTAAATCCCTTAACTGTAGAAGAGTTAGTTCACAAAATTTCAGTCAAAGAATCCCAAGAGGATAGACTTAGGCATAGGTTGGAGGAATACTGCAAGGGATCGTAAGGAATTAGGGACTGTGTGTGTGGATTATTGTCAGCTGGCTGAGGATAGGTGTCAATGAAACGGTATATTGTGCATACGGCAGTATGCACAAGTAAAAGGCGAGCTGTGACTTCCTTAGCGAGGTACGATCATCGCGTCAGGAAGGAATTTGTTTTATGCCTCCGTGTAATCAGTTCAGCGACTAGTGACGAAAGGAAGAACCTAATGGCTGTCGTGAAACAAGACCTCGAGGAGTATTCTTGCGACGTCACTTTATTACTCAACGCCGTAACTACAATCCAATATAACTATAACACAAAATGTTGAACAAGCCGCTTCACAGTCGTTCAATTCGTGTTAACAACTCTCACTAGACTGCAGACCTGCTCGAGAGTGAACTGTGGAACTGTAACTGTAAACTTCCAAGTCCAAGTCACATTGCGACTGACTGTCAGTCAGTCAGTATGTCTTGTTGTCGAACCCCGGCTGGGGCTCATGACCAGATTTGTTTTCCTTATATGAAAGTTGCTGTCCTGTCAATTTGCGGAGCCCTCCCTCACGAGAAGTCGGGTCTGTCATTTGTCAGTCACAGTCCGTATTGGTAAGTTCATTGTCAGTATTTACATATATTAAAGATTTAATCTTAATTCCTATTTCTATGTACAATATATACAAGACCTCTGTCAGTCCAGGCTCAGTACAGCAGATTATGCCCTAGTAGTAATTGCTACCA